TACCTGTTGTTTCTTTTCATTGTTAATGCTGCTTATGGATGCGAGCAAGGTCAGGCACCAGCTTTAAGAGCACAAATGCATAGTAAGAGAGTCCTTTCACAAAAGGCTTAAGCTCTCACTAGACAAAACAAATGCAGGTTCAGATGGAAAAAAGATTGTTTTCCCCATTTTATATAGGAAAAATGGAGGCAAAAGGACGAACTCAGAGTCATAGCAGTCTGGGAGAAAGCAGAGAATCGAAGCAAGATTGCGGAGACCCAAAACCCATGGTGGTTCTTATCCCAAAGGGGTGCTGAGATGTGGACATCTTGTAGCAGTTATTTTGGAGGAAAACCAGTAACAAACACTGGTCCTTTTGGTTTTTTTTTAATCTTCACTCAAATTGCGAGTCTCCAGCTTTTAGGAAAACGTTCTTGCCCTTAAAATGAAAACCTGGGGTGCGAAGGAGTGGAGGTGGCAGGTAAAGGCAGGTGGCAGGTGACTTAAATTTCTCAGCTGGGTGAGGAGACTCGTCGTGCTGGAGCAGAGGGTGCTCTGCTGCACCTTCCTTCGAAGCGAAGGCAGGATACCAGGATGGGCTGATCCACCATCGCGCTCGGCAGCGTGCCGAAAACCCCACGGAAGGGAAGTTGAGCTGTTCTGTCTGTGATGTGTGGGCAAAGCGATACTTGGCGGAGGTGGAAATGTGTCTCCTGTGCTGCCCGAGGCCTTGCTGGTGACCTAGTTCGTGAGCTTGTGGGAGTTTCGATGCTGCACAGATTTTGCGTCTATACTTCCTGCCTTGTTTTTGTACTCTGACACCTTCTTTTGAACTCTGCAGAATATTTCTACGAGCCTAAAGCACTGGCAGGTCCCTCTCTGGCAGGCAAGAAAGGATGCAACGTGAGGGAATGAGAACTTGAGGCTTTGTATACAAAAATGCAAGAAGTAGGTGTGTTACCAGAGGGTTTTCTCTCAGGGCAACCCTGCTGTAGTTTAATCTTTCCACAAACTGTCTCAGCATCCGATATTGGATGCTTGCCTGGATTGTAATCTCTCTGGATGGAAAATGAATTCAATCCTCTGGTTTTGAAAACCAACAATAGGTATGTTACGGCTTTCCATATTGTGATTTCTGATTTAAATAGGGAAAAAAAAAATAGGACGCTGTTTTATTTTTCCCATACAGAATTTTTTTTTTTGCAAGACGACAGTTAAACTTTGTACCTTAGACACAGTGCGGCATCTGGCTGTGCATAAGGCTACATCCACAGGGGGCCAAAAATGTGCTGAATTGCCTTTTTGCTTCTCAGTCTGCAAGATGTCAGTGATAATTGAATGCAACTTTCATTGGGTTGACAAGAGGGTAGAACTAGTCCGAGAAATTTAAAAGTATGACTTAAAGTAGAAGGTTTGCAACTTTTTCCTGCTATTTCCAATTGAACAGTTCATTGTTAAGCAGGAAATGTAGTTCACAGAACATAAGAACAGTCCTCTAGGTTAGACTGTTCTTATTGTGCCAACATCTGTCCTTACCCACAGCCTACAGCAGATGATTTAGGAAGAGTACGAGGACGGGGAAAGCTCTGTAGTTCTTAGGAAACAGGCCCTGGAGGTTATATTTTAGGACCTTTAATTACCTGTAACTGATTTAAATCTTTAAACCTGTAGCAACGTGTTTCACGTTGTTTGTGAACTGCATATTAACGGCCTCAAAACACGTCCCAGACTGTCGTCTCTAACTGTGGATCCTCTCCGTTTCTTCCAACTGGTGTTAATGCTTGCGTAAACGGGGATCCGAGGAGCCTCCATGGATGGATGTGAAACAGATGTAGCCGTGCGTGTTTCAGAGCTTTGCCTTTAGAAGGTCTGATCTTGAAGGCCGAGGGCAACGACAGTCCGAGGAAGTGTTTGCATTTTTCTGAAGTAATACACTGAAACAAACCCATAAAAGTGTAACACCTTCCTGATGTTAAGACAGGTGAGGACGGTGGAATGATGTTGGTGGAAATCTTTCCTCAGGAGTCTATATCTTAGTCATGCATCGAAAGAGAAAAAACTTTGTCTTTTATTTTTGTGTGGGATGCAGATCCTTACTTTAAATGAGCTAAGCACTGGTCTCCACCGCGTTACTTCTGAATGTCTGGAATTTCTCTGTTGAGACGTGGCTGTGCTGTGAAACTTCTGTTGTGAATCGCTGTCCTGGCTTTGTTTGGAGTGACTTTCTTCCTCCAATACCGCTGAAGTATAGTACGAAAAGAACATAACCTGCTCTTTCTTTTCTTTAGGAAAGATTGTTTGTCAGTGAAGAAAACGTTGATGGATTTCTAGGCACTGTTTTATGCCCTTCCTTTTGCTCCCAATCAGCACTGGAAAGTCAGCCTTTAATTGAAGTGCTTGATGTTACTGAGGACAGAATTCAAATCAGGTTGAAGGTAAGGATCTCTCGGGCAGTAGTACGTATTGCTGACTGATTTATGTACTTCAGCAAGATCGTATCAAATCTGACCGGAACAGCTTTGTTCCTGTTTTGTCTTGATACAGCGGGGAAGACTGTGGAGTAGGGTGTATTTGCAAGTATAAATGTCAGTTTTCAGAAACACAGGTTCACATTTGTGCCATTTGATGTGACCAAGGGATTGAAACCTCTTATATTTCATTGGGAAGGAGGAGAACTGTGATACAGTCATTAAAGACGGTGCTTTCTCCTTGCAGGAATACAGCATGGCATGCGTACGCTAAATCTCTCACTGGTATTAACAGAAAGAAATGACTAAGTAACTACCTAGTATCCCTCACTCGAACCCCAAGTGCTTCCAGGTCAGAGCTGATGACAATGTGCTGCGAACAAATGATGGCAGATGTCATCAGAATAAAAACCAGAATGTTCTTAAAATGGAAATAAAGAAGTGAATAATCCACGTCCTTCAAATACCCCAGAGTTTGGGCTCCTGTACTGCAGCCCACGGTTAGAGCATGCAGTGTTTTGTACAGACACTTTTCTGGGTGTCGGGTGACCAGAAGTGAACTTACCTGGAGGGACTTGGGCTCATAGAATCACAGGACAGTTTGGGTTGGAAGGGACCTCAAAGCCCATCCAGTCCCAACCCCCTGCCATGGGCAGGGACACCCTCCACTAGCCCAGGTTGCCCAAAGCCCCATCCAACCTGGCCTTGAACACTGCCAGGGAGCCAGGGGCAGCCACAGCTTCTCTGGGCACCCTGTGCCAGGGCCTCAGCACCCTCACAGGGAAGGATTTCTGCCTCACATCCCATCTCCATCTCCCCTCCTGCAGCTTCAGGCCATTCCCCCTTGTCCTGTCGCTCCCTGCCCTTGTCACCAGTCCCTCTCCAGCTGTCAGGAGGGACTGGAGAGGCAAAGAGCCTGGCTCCTGGGAGCGGGAAGCGGAAAGAGCTTCGTAAGATGGACAGAGGGTGCTCAGTCCCGGCCATTGCTTCACTCTCTGCCTTGTCACACAGGTACAGAAAACCTTGAGGATTTTGTCAGTGAAGAATTGGGTCTCATTCTCTTTATTCTGTCCAAGTGTTCGAATATTTGGTGGTTTCCTATGGTGTAGACAGATGAAGAAAACAAAACTTTAGTTTTGTAAAGAGGAAAAAGTGAAGTAAAACCCCCAAATTGACTGGGATTTCTTGGTAAAGACTGTATCAGAAATTAATTTGAAACTTTTCTTAACGGAAAGATAATATGCAGGGACAGTCAGGTTACTTCTGTTGCCATAAACAGAACGCGTAGATGGCTTCTTGGAAAGCAAGTTCAGACGAAGCATGTGACCTCTGGAACCGTGCTGGATGACTGAGCAGTTTACCCTAAACATAGCAGCTCCAGCATTACTTGACAGGTTTAACTTTTGTAGTTAGTGTGGATTGTACGAAAGAAATTAAAATTCAGGTTGTTGGAGAGCAAATATGGGTTTGGAGAAAGGGAAGCTAAGGTACCTTAAGTCATTCACACATTCATGTGGGAGAATCATCCCGTGCTGAGAAGGACTTTGCAGTGTTTCTTTCATTTCTTGCTGGAGTGAGCAGTGCTTTTGGGGTCAGAGAGGGCTGGGTGCTGGAGAGAGCGACTTGGTCTTTGAATCCATGAATCTCACTGCTGCTGGACAGACGCCTGCCTGCCCCTCGCTGCCCGCTGACAGGGACACACGAGTTCCCAGCTGATTTTTTGCTAAAGCAGTCAGTAGCTAATGGTGAAATTGGGTAACTGCTATTTAGACAGCACAGGGTCTCAAGTTCAGGCAAACTGCAGCAATTCCAGGATTAACTCAGGCCGATTGAGAAAGACAGCTTGCTCGCCAGTTACACCTTCCACGTACGACAGGACGGTAATTTCCCTAATTGCAAAGTTAAAACACACTGCTCATAGTAAGAATTTAGATCCCTTGGCTGATTTTTGTGGCCCCTGAGTTCCAGAAAACAACGGCCTGGGTGTGGTGAATCACAGGTCTTCCCTGCTGTTAATTGTGACAGAGGCTGTGGCCACTCGGCAGCTGCCCGGCGGCATTTCCTATTGCAGAGGAAACCCTCAGGAGGCAAACCACCTCCCTGCTGCTTATTCCGCTGCGTGGTACAAGATCAGGAAAACCTCAGCATCATACTGACGTGTCTTTCTGGAAGTAGACGTTGGAGAAAGCGGTGTCTTTGGCCTGTCTTTACAGTGGTTTTGTATGCCCAGTCTGTTTCAACTATAAAAACAATTCATTTATTTTCTCAACAGCCGCAGGAAGCAGTCCATTCTGAACCTGATGGAAAAGAACAAACACTTAGCAGCTCAGGAGGAAACCTCGCCGAAAAGACAAACGGCGACTACTCCCAAACAAAGGCAGAAACAAACTGTACTGCCGCTGACGCAGCTGAAGGAGAACGTGCTACAGAAACCAACAAAACTTCCACGTCTTCTGCAACGGCTGAAACAATAGGAAAAGTAGGTTGTAGTTCACACCATTGTTTGCAGCATGAACCTTCTGACACCAGTTCAGCGATTCCCGGCGAATCTAGGAGAAAGGAACCAGATTTAGAAAGTGCTGTCACAGTAGGTGAAACGGCCGCGGCCGCAGACTCTGAAAAGGCAGCAGGGCTTCTGCTGGAGGGGCAGGCGAAAGCAGAAGGGGATGGAGCAGCTGCGCCCGCAGGATTGGCACGGGGGAACCAGCACAGCTCGGACAGCAGGCCGGCCTCCCCGCTCCTGCAAGAAGTGAGCACGCAGGACGGGAGCGTGCAGATCGTTAGGGATCACGTAACGCACTGCCCGGTTGCATTTCAGAATCCTTTGCTGTATGAATTGGACTAGTTTAATTATTTTGGGATTTCCTTCTGTTGTTTGAAGCTTACTGTGGCTTCCACGTGCTGGTTTATGACCTCAGGGCTAAGAGTAGAAAACGGGTTCCTACTGACGCTGTTTTGTGTACGTCAACTTAGAATACTTATGTTGTTAGTAATTTTTTAACTTTTCAGGTCTGAGTTTTCTAATCACACGTATGGGCTCAAATAGTTTTACTTACGAGATGCAGTTGGAGGTGAATCTGAGCTCGTGGAAGAAAATGTGTTTTTATTGTTTACTTAACTTTCGTAGGCTCTTGCTCTGTGACAGGGAGTATTTGTATGTATCCTGTTTCTAATGGCTCCCTCAGGACTTGCTGTGTTTAGTCCACCTAGAAATGAGCTGTATTCATCATTTTTCAAACCTTTCATTTTGTTCTAACTGCAGGATTAGACTTGCACTGATTTTTAGCAATCAAATGAAATTTCTAATTACACGGAGAAGTTCTAATTAGTTTCCTAGAAATAATCAGCGTTCATACCATGTATTCCATCCTAGTACGTTACTTCAGAACACAGCATCCAAACATAGCCCAGTCTGTCAACCGAACAAATTCAATTGCACAATAAAAACGTCCTCTCTTGTTGCACGTCTGCTACTAAGTATTTACAATTTTGTAAAATGGATTCACTTTATCCAGATTAGATTTACTTCGCAAAAAAAAGTTCCCCAGGAGCGTGCTGTTGGCCAGTTGATCTCTCTAAAGTGCGATAACCAAAAGAACATATCTAATAATAATAATAATAAACTTTCAGTTCCCTTTCTCGCAGCCTCTGAAATAGCTTCTGTTTTCTTTTGAGTTACACAAGACACAAATGTGCTGTAGAAGAAAGTTAAATGTGCCTTGTTTTGCAGCTGCTCTGGAATTACTCTTACGTTACCAGGTTAAAAGCGAGCGCTCGCAGTGGGGGCGTGCAGCGTGTTACTTCTGTAAGTGCAGCGGAAGCCAGGGCTGCCAGAAGCACCTGCCCTACCCGCTCCCTTTGCAAGGCCGAGTTTAACCCCGCTCAGCTCCTTGCGGGAGGCAGCGAAGGGCTGAGGCACAGACACGACATTTTCAGCACCGGCCTTGACTTTGTGAAACTATGGGAAAGAAAAAAAAAAAGAGAGCATCTTATCGCGGGCAAAGTAAACACCTGCATGCTACTTCACGTGTTTCACAAAACGTGGCGTGCTCTCAAACGAACATTTAACCACTGTAGTCACAACCCCTAAAGAGGGTGACGCGTGGTGGTAAAGCCTTGCTACGCGCCCTTCCAGCCAAAGGAACCGTTGTAGCCAGAGCCCTAAGAGCACCAACCCCATTGTCTCCAATTAAAAAAAATAAATGAAGCTTTCCCTCCCCCCACCCCAAATCTCTTGGTATAAAATCTACCTCTAAATATCGCATGTCTGTCCCTTTAGTGTAGCATTTTCTTGTTCTAACATACCTCCCTGGTCTACAAAACCCGTGTGCACCACTGCTACCAGTTGTGCTTCAAAGCGAAGTGCCGCTAAAGCAGATGCACCGTTAGGCTTCGAACAGGCCAGGAAGTGCTCGATGCACGAACAGCTCTGCTCTCTCCCGTTCGTGGCTTTTGTCGCCAGGTCAGCGTGTTTCCATTACACACCACTATTTTTTTACTGGTCGCTTTATGCAGCTGACTAAGTTGAACATGAACTTTTTTTTTTTTGCTCCAAACAAAAGAGGTGTCGTGGCATGCATTTGTAACTCTAGTCTGCCTCAATTAGTGAGTAGCATTAAAAATATAATGAGGGTAAATGCACACTACTGGAAGGGGTGAGGGCACGCGTTCAGCCCTCTGGAGTGAAGGCAAGACACCCCAGCTCCCCCACCCTGGTTCTGACTTTCTAGCAACACAAGATGACATCATCTTTTTGTGAGAATCAAGAACTTCTCTGGTATTTATTACAAAACAACTGATTTTTATTTCGGCAGAACTAAAAAAATCGTATATTTATCTACATTGTAGTAAAAACAATGATTATTATTATTTTTTTCCTTCATATATTCATCGACGCATCGCAACCAAACCGGGACGCGGGTATCGGGTGTGAGGTGACCCCGGGTGGGACGCACCGGTTCTGCCGGTGGATGCGGCATGCGACTCCCAGCTCACCACCCCCAGCACAGCGCCGCGGGCACCACCACCCTGCCCCGATGGGGGGGGAAACCCGCACCAGAGCACCGTAAGCACCAGAAAAGATGCACTTAAAATCGAGTTTTCTCCTCCTCTTCCTCCCAGTAAACACAGCAACGGTCACTTTTTTGCGTAGGGGCTGCGATGCTGCTCTGAGCGGCCCGGCAGCAGCCAGTAACCCGTTTCCAGAATGTGGTTGCCAAACATGAAAGATTACTATTTTGGGACACCTTTTACAAGAATGTTTATTCATATTAAAGCAGAAACCAACTCATAAATGCTTTTTTATACACGTGTGTGCCTGTAAAAGACAGTATGGAACAACTCAAAAAGAAAAAGGCTGCGAGAACGCTCCTCACTGAAGTCTGCGGTAACTTTTACAGAGTTCGTGGTCCCTAATATCTCCCCACCCTCCGTTTTTCACATGAGGGGAGAGGGGTGCCATGGAGTACCTTTTACTGACACTCATCGTTTCGGGAAACAGGTACTGTTGGTTGCTGTTCAAAAGAGAGTCGATTTTGGCACTCTGGGTAGACGGTCTGCAGGATTTCTTGTGGTGCATGCCGCAGTCCCCCGTGTGAAAAATCCTGGGGATCTCCGGAACCAGCACTTTCCAGAACTTTGGAAGACAAGAGACAGTCAAGTGCTGCAGAGTCCAGTCCCAGTTGTAGTCATCGTAGGTGCAGAAGGCGTCCGTGCACTCGATGAGCTTCTGGTAGGTGTCTCTGCCGAAGGCCATGCCCATGTTGTGCTCCGTGGACTTCCACGTCTTC